GATAGTATCAATGCTAGCTTCATTCATACTTACAAGGATGATCTGAAACATAGTATTATCTAGCTTGTCAAAAAAGTCTTCAAGGAACCCGAATCCATTAGGATGGTTAATGACACTTTCCTCACTCTTATCCCTAAGATTGACTATCCCATCTCAATGAAAGACTTTCATCCTATTTTCCTTTGTAATGTGAGCTATAAAATAATCACCAAAATCCTCTCCAATCATCTACATGCCTATTTGAACCATCTAATTAGTGATAACCAATGCAATTTTATACAAGGGCATCAAAACAATGACAATATCATTATCACTCAAGAAGTCATCTATACCATGAGAAACAAAATGGGTAAAAAAAGATTCATGGCTCTTAAGATTGATCTTAAAACGGCCTTTGACATATTGCCTTGGGAATTCATTGATGATACTCTCGAATCCATTGGTATAAATAGACACTTTAAGAACTTGATTCAAGCTGCTATCTCTACAACTCGTATGTGGATCCTCTCAAATGAACAACCTACTAAAGAGTTCACACCTACCCATGGCATCCATCAAGGGGACCCTCTTTCTCCTTATCTCTTTGTCTTTTGTATTGAACGTTTAAGCTACTACATTAACAATAGTATTGAAAAAAATGAGTGGAGACCAATTAAATTAACTACTAACGCTCCTCCCATTTCTTATTTTTTTTATTGATGATCTTTTTCTTTTTGCAGAATGTTCTCTTACTCAAGCTGTTATCATACAACAATGCCTTTTTGAATTCTGCAGTGCCTCTAGACCAAACATAAAATCTGATAAATCTAAGCTCTTCTGTTCAAAAAATGTAAATATCAATAGAGCTATACAAATTAATGGTGAATTAAGGATTCCTCTCTCTGGCAATCTTGAAAAATACTTGGAATTCCTATTATTCATGAAAAGGTGTCTAAAGTCACTTTTGCCCCTCTTCTTGATTAGACAAACTCTCGCTTAGCTAACTGGAGGAGTAGATATCTGAAAATGGCAGGGAAATCTATACTTATCAAATTCATTCTTTCAGCTCTTCCTAGCTACATTATGCAGACTATGCTCTTATCTGATAATATTTCGTTAGATCTAGAAAAAATCTCCAAAAACTTTCTTTGGGATTTGACTAATGAACATAAAAAACCTCACCTCTTGTCTTGGGATAAAATTACTATGGATAAGAAAGAAGGAGGACTCGGCCATAAGAAACTAAAGAATCAAAACATTGCTTTCACCATGAAGCTTTGTTGGGGCTTAATCAATAAGCCTAACTGTCTCTAGGTTTGAATTGTGCATGATAAATACAAATGTGATAAACTCAAAATTCCCATGGTTATCAAACCGGACAACTATTCTTATAGTTGGAGTAGCATTTGCAAAGTTTGGGATAAATTCATGCTCCATGTAGGTTGAAAAATTGGAAAAGAAAATCAAATATCCTTTTGGTATGACAAATGGTCTCCGCTCCCTAACCCTCTTGTTAAGCATACTTTTCTTAATGATGATCTTATTCTACATGTTAGGGTCTCTAATTTTTGCAAAAGTATAAGAGGATAGAATTTTGATCTATTGAGTCACTATCTCCACTCTAATGTGATCAAACATATATCTCTTATGCAACCTCCTAACCAACAGGGTGAACAAGATGTCTTTTTTTGGAGACCTTCCTCTGATGGCAACTTCTCCATTAAATCTACTTATAAAGTTATGGAGTCACACAAGAAGCAGCAGCACTTGACTTATGGACTAAGATTTAGAAATGGCCTATATATGAAAAAATAAAATACTTTCTTTGAAAGGATGCCTTAAATCATCTCTAACTCAACCTCATGCATACAACTGGAAATACTGGCCGGCAACGTATCTATCCTTTTGGTTGTAACTCTCCTGACTCTTCAATTCATATTCTACGTGACTGTAAAGAAGCTAAAGAGGTTTGGAAAAAAGTAGTTAACCATACTAAACATAGCACCTTCTTCTCACTTAATGTGCAAGATTGGATAGTTTGAAATGCAGAAGTTGAAGTAGGTAGCTTAAAAACAAGAAGAACGCCATGGCAGAGAATTTTTGCTAAAGCTTGCTGGAATATCTGAAAGAATAGATGCAAGAAGTTATATTCTGAAGATGTTACTACGGATAATGACATTACCTCCTCTAACACCCAACAAATTAATAACGACTTAAAGCTCCTATGTAAAACCCTCCACTTAAACAGGAATGATACTGCTAGTGAAGTCAAATAGAGCCCACCAGAGCATGATTAGGTTAGACTCGATATTGACAGCTCAGTCAACATCAATGGAGTTGCAGCTTGTAGAGGCATCATCAGAGATGACAAAGTAAATTAGATCAAAGGATTCTCGAAATTCCTTGGATATCAATCTAGCACTTCAACTGAACTTATGGGAATTCTTGAAGGTCTCAACCTCTGCTGGAATATGAAATTAAACAAAGTCAATGTCCGCACAAACTCGATAGAAGCTCTGTCAATCATTAACAGCACATGGTTTGGAAATCACCTATTATCTGACGTTATCAGAAAGATCAAGGAACTTACTGTGAGAGACTGGATTGTTACCTTTAATCATGTCTACAGAGAAGCTAATAGATGTGTGAATCTCTTAGCCCTCCAATCGACACACGACAATTTTGAAGTTATCATTTTTTATATTCCCCCGATTGGCTAGACCAACCTCATGGTTTTACATATGATTAGATGAATATAATCCCCTGCATGGCTTTGCTATGGCCTTGTAATTAAAAAAAAAACAAATTATGCTCAAGGATCAAGTTAAATTTAAGAACCAAATTAAATATTTTATTTATTAAACAATCTGAATAAATAACCAAAATGCCTCTCTATTTAAATCAATGAAGTTGAAAGAAAAAAAAAAGATTTCCTGTTCAACACGTACACTCCAAGCCAAAAGCCATAAACTATGCTAAAAACCAAAAAAGTAAGTTATAATTTTTATTATCATGAGTGCAAGGCTTCTAACTTGGAATGCAAAGCTTCTAATTAGAGTGCAAGGCTTTTATATTGGAATACAAGGCTTTTGGCTTGATATGCACATATTGAACAGGTAACCTTTTTGTTTTTCAATTTCGTTGGTCTTAAGAGAGAGGCATTTTGGTCCCATTTCTAAATTTAGGTTCATTTTTTATAAGCTACCGTATTAACCCACAATGTTAAACTAATAGGATTAAGTTATTAGCCCAGCCCCACCTAACTTTGAATTTATACGGGCCGATCTGATAGGCTTGACTCACTTTTCTGGCCTTACGGGGTAATTTGGAATGTAAATGCAATCTCATTGCCAGTATAAAACATTGCTATTGGGTAATTTATATGAACTTTCCAAGTACTCTGAATTGTGATGCCAGTCTCTCCCAAGCATTACATAAGATTAACAAGGCTTTTATTTTCTTCTTTAATTTTGGGACAGAACAAGGCTTTTCATTTAACTTACACATTCTTTACTGGAAAGCAGTTTGAATTTTGAATTTAAATAATCCTTCAGTTCACCAGTATGAATATTCCTTCCCAGCCTTGGCCAGTGATATAAATAAACAAGTCCATTCAATTCAATCCAGAAATACACCGTGACATGACAACCACCCAAATCAATACAACAAATTAAGCTAAAACGCAACATGCTTTGACTGATGCCTGAGTCTGAACTCTGCCAGCAAGAAGCAGTTACATACATAGACTCTTACTACTCTACTCAAATTTTATTAGAAAATGATGATAATTACGTCAAGAGTCAGACAGATTCTGGGATAAGAGAAGTGGTTATGCACTGAAATACTGTATCCGAACCCGGATTAGGCGAGTACAGCAGCTAAATTAGTTCATAATGAGCTATCTAATCACAAGATTGTTCCTCAAAAAAAAAAAAAAAGAAAGCAAAACAAAAAATGAAGCTAGATAACAACAAATAAAGGCCAACTAAAAGAATACATAAATTCTTGCTTGAAGATTCCCTGATGATAGTATCAACTGATAATATATGTACTTTTTCATAACCAAATCAGGATGACGAATAGCCTTCCGACCCATAAGCCATCAACGTCTTGGCTAACTGTATATATCTGCAGCAACCAACAAAAATTCACAAGGATGGCTTGAAAGAACTGAAACATAGTTTCAGACAGCACATTGGCATAAGCAACTATGATAGTAAAGGCTAGTAACATTTTCTTTTTTGGGTTAGCAAAAGAAGCAGGCTCCTCATATAGTAAATAATATCTCCCATGAAAATCCGAGAGCAACGAATAGGTCTCTCCCAATTAAATTACTACATATACAAAGGTTGAGATTCGAACCCCAATTACTTATTTAAGTGATAACAACCTCTATTACTCATGCCAACTTTAGTTGGCAAGCTAGTAACATTTTGTCCTCAAGAATTAATACAATCATTAGAAGTTGGATGATAGACAAAACATGAAATCTACAGTGAATTGAGCACCATGGTTTTTAAGAGCTTAAATCCCACCTCCCAACCAACAGAGGTTGAGTCTTGTGAGATGAGCTAAACCCTCACAATATAGAAAATCAAAGTTTAAATCATTACTAGGAAAGGAGCCTACTAAACTTGAATAGGATTGCCTTCAATAGGAGGATACTTGTGATCAATTCAAAAAAAAAAAAAAAAATCCCAACTTTGAAGTGGAGAGAAGAAGCAGAGGACGTAAGATACAGTGTCCCCCATGCAAAGGAATTTGTAAACGCCTACAATGGATGAAATAATGCACCACTTGGGTGAACTGATGCTAATGCTTCTCCAGATAGACATTGTATCATCTAACTAAACGGAAGTTCTTCAGTTATGTGTGTCTCTGGATATTATCTTGCCAGGCAACTTAATAAACTTCAACTTATACGTATATTGTGGCCAGTCTCGATCACGTATGATGCAAAAAGGCATTGACCATATCTAAACTGGATGCCGTACTATCTTCTTTCTTCTTTCTTCTGGAGAAGACACATAATTACAAACAAGAAACGGAAACTTCATTATATGTTCATCATCGAAGGATGGTATCTCCCATTACACTCCAAGAAATACTGTGCTGATAGAAGTCAGTTTAAGGTCTCAACTTACCCTCCTTAAGATTAGGATTAAAACATAAAAGAAACACGGTTGAAAAACACAGTTACATATAATCCCAGCCAAAATAAAAGGAATGAGATTTAAACTCATTCCAAATGGAAAAACTTCTTCTGTCATCAATTTTTTATTTCCTCGTTTTATCTGGATGCAGAGAATTTTTTTTTTTTTTCTCTCTTTTAACTTCAATCCTCGAACTCCCTGGCTGTTTGTGACCTCGTTAAGGCTTAATAAGAGAAAATCATAAACCCCAATTGAACTCAACTTGGGAAGAAGAAAATTGACATAAGGAACGTCGCTAAAACATGGTATGTCTGAAGATTTAACGTTTAGAAGGAAAACATGCAGCAGGATATTCCAGAAACTTACAAAAAAAAAAAAAACGAGAAAAATAACAAAACTTCATATCATGGGCATCAGTATATGGATTCCAATTTTAAACATCAAGAACAAACACTATTTTTCATCCAAGTCATGACGGGCATAAAAGACAGATGAAATATAACACATTCAAAAATAAAATAAAATAACTATATTTCAAAGTAACTTCAAATAAAGAGAAATAAAGAGTTCCAAAATCTTTCCAAATACAATATAAAACCAATGAAAACCTAAAGAATCAGGTATAAATCTCCAAGATTCTCTCTTCCCAATTGATGGGATTCAAGTTCCCAAATGCATGAATCACGTCCATTAACACCAAATTGCTTTAAGAGACTAATAGTTTGACGAATGATGATTTAAGCCTTAAACAAAATGGAAAGCAGGAAATGAAAAACAATGGGGCAAAACAGGAATTAACTGTTGTTCCGTAGTTAAGTGACCAGAGGTCAATCTTTTTTGACCATGGACTCGAGGTCAATTAAGCGAAGGTAGTTAAAGGCATGGGCACCATGAATCTGTAAGAACACCAGCTTACCACACTCTGTTGCTCTGTATAGGACCATTCCAAGGGTTCAAGTCATATGAATGTAGCCAATGTAAACTCATCTCACTAACTTTGAATTTAAATCAGATACTTATTAAAGAATGTCTCCACACTCTTCAAATTTTCTGACTACGTACCCATAATCAAGCGAATCTAATGTTGTTATGTATCAATGTCACAACAGGAAGAGAATCAACTTACTAATAGTTCCTTTTAGATCAGGATCCCCCTTCAAAACTACCCATTTTACATCCATACTTTATTTGTAGAATATAGTATTTAACTGACCATCAAGAAGGCACAACAGCAACAAGGTGGGCAATCAAGAGTTTATAAATCAATTCCTACCACATCATAAACTAGAACCACAATGAGAATACGTACAAATGCTCAGACTCAATTCAATTATCTCAGGAAAATTTTCCTCAGTCAGATTCGTTTTAAACAAAATATAACTTAAGTTGCCAGATTAAACAAGCACTAATGCACATTTACACATATACTCAAGAAAATTTTCCTTGATCAGGATTCATTTTTACACTAAGCCATACTTGCACTTTACTCCAGTGTGTGCATTGTTGCGCACTCAAGTATGGTTGTCTATGACCATATGTATAGGACACAGCAGTTGATGTTGCAAACTTTACCCTGCATGTGGTCATATATTAATACTGTTCGATTTGACTAACCTGCTCTCTGTCGCTCAAGCTATGGTTGGGAGTACTGAAAAAGATGAAAATGCAGTGATTATTAATGAAGTGGGCAGAAATGGAATATAGTGGGAATTATCCCTCCAATATTTGGAATTTTGGATGTTTGCAAAGGAAAAAAGATTGTAGTCTCCTCCTCATTGCTTAAATTTTTATTACACTGGTAATCAACGGAGAAGGGTGGAAAACTTCCAACGGGATTCTCATCGTCATACATTATTTCCTTCAATGCATAGCAAGGGCAAAACAATACTTGAACATGACAACAATAGGAGGTTCAAGTGGTTTGGGACTCGTTCACCTCCGGTAATATCTTGGATTCAAGTATTATGGAAACTGTCATTAGGAAAATTTTACGCCCATATGTTTTGGTCCGACTCAATTCAATTTAGATTAGTTATGGCCTAACCCACCCCAGTCCATTAAAAACATCTGAACAAAGGTTTAGGTTTTATCACTGCCAAACTTCAATATCCTCAATAAATATTAAGAGTTATCATTAACTAAAAGATGAATTTACCCAAGAATTTACCAATAACATGAGAATAACCTCTCAGAAAATGCTTCAACATGGCAAATGGATTGCAGCAATAATATACCACAAATGGTTCTGCCTCGAACAGCAAGTATGTATAAACAGCCACAGAAAGCTGACATTCAGCACAAGAATAAAGAACTCCAAATGCAAGGAATATCTACCAAACCAACGATACCATAAAGTGCATACCCAAACAGTAAGTCAAAAAAATTATTAATAAGAACATGTACCAGATAAAATACAATTTGTTATATTAGACATATAACATCACTCAGGTATCAGATGTTTATCCAAAATGAGATGATTACCCAGAATTCAAGCTTGCTATCTAAGTCAATACATAAGCAAAAAACAATAGCAGCCATCTGATCAATCAGTTCCAATGATAGGAAACCCCAAAAACAAAAGGGAATGAAGCAAGATGATGGTATATTATTCTTTTGGTAGGATATTGATCTTCATATACATCAAGATTGACTAATTAATGCTAACTGTCCAAACATATTGTACTGGCACAGTTTTCATGCAATATTTTCTAGGAACTTTCAGAGAATTTTAGATTAATCACTACAATTTTAGAGCTCAAAACATCAGTCCAACCTAGAGTCAGTAATAAATTAAACCCACCCACATTCCAAAAATAGAAATAGCTGATACAAGATGTAACTTCAGACCATAAGATAGAATATCAAAAATTAAATACATGTACACAAACAATAAAAGAAAAACAGCAACGCAACACGAGGGAGTTTCACAATCCTCCTGCTTCTGACTCATATACAACAATGAGTCACTTCATAGACTTCTTGACGCAATTTCTTCATTGAACTTTAGCGTAAATAGAAGTAAAAATAAACTAATGTCCTTCATTTTGGAGTCATAAAATACCAAACTTGCCACACAAATGCCACGCCACCTGAACGTTAAAGAAGTGGGCTTTTTTTTTTTTTTTTAATTGAAATAAAGTTCTCAGATAAATATGATGATAAACTATGACGAAATCTCCATCAAAAGGTAATAAAGCTCATTGCTTGCTTGGATAAATAGATGGAGAACGAAACAACCATTCCATGACATTTATTATTATTTTCTGAAGTCCATGATCTAACATAAAAAATCTCCATCTAACAAACAATCTAATTGGGAAAACCCTGGCGACCTAACATCCTATTGTTTAAAAGACACACACAACATCTTCCGTTAGATTTAAAAAACAATACTAAAAAGCATACTCTAACGTCAAACAAAAGATCAAGCATCAAGCATAAACAAAACAATCCGAAATTATATCTCACCGTTAGACCCAGATCTCTTGCCACGCTTTATCCTCTCCAGCTGAACCTGCGTGTCCATAAACATCTGCATCCTCTGAACTTCGAGATCTTTAGCGAACTGCATCCTCTGTTTTTCCAAATCCACCATCTGCCTCAGTTTTTCTCTCTCCACTCTCTCATACATCTCTCCAAACCTTTCTATCGCCTTCGCCAACCTCCTCATCCCTTCCCTTTCCCTCTCCCCCTCCTCAACCTCACTTCCCCTCTCGTCATCTTCCTCATCCTCCTCCTCCACTTCGTCCTCATCCTCATCAACCTCTGCTGCAGCTGCCGCTGCTGCCATAGCTGAATAATTCCTCCTAAAATACCCATCATCTAAAGCCGGCACAGCTGACCGCTTCTGCGGCAGTGCCACAGATGCTGGCACAGCAGTCACCGGCGGGGACTGGGTCTTACGATACGGCAACGGGAGAGCCACCGGTGGCGACGGGGACGACTTTTTCGAATTATAATTGGACCCAATCAAAGCATCCAACCGTTCAAAAAACGGCCAAGAGGAGGAAACATTCCCATTGGAGCTCACAACCCTAGCCTTCTCAACCTTATACTTCTTCTTAATAGTATCGATGCGATTCTTACACTGGACATCAGTACGGTGGGTTTTCTTCGTAAGACCATGTAGAGCGTTCACGGCATCCGCCACGTCCTGCCAGTCCTTCTGCCGAAGATTCCCTTTGTTCAGCTCCAGGAATCGCCGGCCCCAGGCGTCCACGAGGGTGGAAGTAGCCTCCTCGCTCCAACAATCTTCCCGGACCGGCATCGGCCGGTGATTGGTCGCCGGCGGCGTGAGCCCATCTTGTAAATCCGCCATCAACAACGTCAGGGAACAGAAATCAACCGCAGGAACAGATCAAGGATCGGTGAACTGAATAAAAAAGGGGGGGTTAGAGAACAGAGAGAGAAAGGCAGAGAGAGATAAGCGTCGATGAAGAAAGGCGTGCCGGACGCATGAGAGAGAGAGGGAGCGAGATAGGAAAGAGAGAGAAAGGCGAAAGAGAAGGGTGGGTGAGAAGGCGAAAGATAATTCGGTACGGTCGAGCCGATGAGGTCGCCGGGGAAGGGCGCGTGTAGTTGGGGGGAATCCCATAGGGCGTGAGTGGCTGGCGTCATCGGATGGGATGGGATCGGCTCGGCTTGATCGGCACTACACTCAAAGTCCAAAAAGGATAATTTTTTTGAAATTAAAACAGAAAAAATGACCAAAAAGTATAACCCAAAAACTTGTAGAAATTTGATTTCTCATTAAAAAAAATTAATTTTAAGTTTTAACAGTGGAGGGTGGCGTGCAGGCTCGATCATCGTTTCCGTTCGTTGAGGGGAGAGACAGAGAGAGAGAGAGAGTAGGTCTAACGGATTAGCGTTCCGGAGGCGTCATTAATCTCTTGTGCGTGACAAAGTCATTAATTGGCTAATCTTTTCAAATATTTTTATGGTAAAAGTATCTTTTCGATCTTTTGTACCAGAAAATAACAATTTATATGATTTTTTTTACCTTGAAATAACAATTATATCACACCAAAGACGTATTTAATTGAGGATCAGAAAATGATTTATTGATGGAAATTGAGAGAAATTTGGTTAATTGGAAAACGTAGTTAATTTAAATTAAATATTTTTTTCAAATCAACCCTGAAATTTACTAAATTCTTAATTAGATTGCATTTAAGGGTTTACCATGAATTAAAATAGCATAGTTATTTCCCAACAAGCATGTGGTCCAACTAGTAAGAATTGTGCTAGTTTAACTGATAGTCTCAAATTAGAGTCCTAAGTATACAACTGTGTTAAAAATAGGGGTGTTCACGGGACAGGACGGGATCGAGACACCCTCGTTTCAAAAAAAAAATCGGGACTGAATTTTGGTCCTGTGTCCTCTCTCGTCTCGAAAGTCGTCCCATCTCGTTAAGAGTTGGGATGAGACCAGAACAAGATCAAAACGTCCCGCCGTCCCGATAAATGAAATAATATCAAAAAAAAATCTGGATAATAACATTTATTAAAATTTTAAATCATATAATTTATTAAATTTAAAATTAAAACAACACAAGCACATAAATAACAATAATTTAAAATCAATTATTGAATTATATTAATTACAACTATATATTATAATAACAAATACAAGTGATTTTTATGCTATAAAACAGGCAAGTCAAATATAACATCAAATCATTATTCTTCTACTTTAATAAAGATGTATTAAGTTAATTACTCTTTTAAAAATAAGCAAGAAATACGTTATAAATAAAAGTTATTAAATAAATAGATATAAGAATAAATTATATTAATATAATTAATATATTATAAAGAAAGATATCGTCATGTTTACTCCATACCATTAAAATTATCAATATAAAAAAATTTTAGTTTTAAATAAGAATTACAAGTGTTAAAATTATAATTGATATAATTAATATAAGTATAAATTATATTAATATAATTAATATATTTAAAATCAAAAATAATATATATAATATTCGGGACGGTACGGGACGTCCCGATGATAATCTCGTGTCTCGTCCCGTCCTGAACTCCTTTCCTATCTCTTCCCGTAAAGTCTCGTCCAAATTATTTTCGGGCCGAGACAAGACCCGTCCCGATATGATCGAGATGATATCAGGTGAATCGAGATGGATCCAGACTAAACACCCCTAGTTAAAAACTCATTGAAAAATTTTTACCACAAATATGATCCTACCCAACTCGACTCATGAATAATTAATAATTATATTAAAAAATATCAAATTATTTATCCATTTAGGTTAATATGAAACAAAATCGATTAGGACCGAACAGAAGATTACATTGAGAATTTTATAGTGAATAAAAAAAGCCAAAAAATTTTATTGTTACTTGTTCCATATATAAATTATTGGATTAAAGAATATTTTTACTTTTCAATTGTCTGTTCTAAAGCATCTATGCTAAACTTATCTATGATGCAACTTTTCTCTTTAATATTTAAAAACCATGTATTACACACCCTGTTGCCGGATAATTTATATATAAATATTTTTATATTTTTATGTCACTGTGTTTTCTCCATATATATATATATACACACACACATGTTCAATATGAATAAGCCGCTTTATCTTTTATTTAATGTAAATAATCATTTATTAAATTTTCCTAATTCATAAAATTATTCTTAGATATAGTTTTAAAATCTTTTTTATTTGTTGAAAAAACTCCTTTTATTTTTATAACTTTATGATAAAGGATCAATGTGTGTGCATGAAAAAATGTGATAAAAAAATATTAAATGCTTTTTATTGGCATTGATTTGAGCTTTTTTAAAAAATATAAGGTCATAATAAAAATACTATGCAAAAAAACCAAAGTCAGGTCATGTTAGAAAACAAAATGCTTTTATAATCTATTAGAGCGTTATCAAACAAAGTAGTGTTAAGATATTCGCTAGAGGCTTTATGAGCTAAAAGATCAGCACAGTGGTTTGCTTCTCTGTAGATATGTTTTGGACTATTTAGGTTTAATTTATTAATATTTGTAATTAAAGGGAAAAAATATTTTTAAAAAAATTTTGAGATTTATTGCATATTTTTTCATATTCCATTGAATATTATTTTAAATTTTTTAAAATACATTTTCTATTAATTTTATTGTTTTATGTGTAGGTGATTTTATGAAAAAGAGAAGAAATGAGAATAAATTGAAAAAAAATTTCTTTTTGCTATTTTTCTATCTTATCCTCCTTCCTTAGTTGGCTTTTTCTAATTTTTCTTTCCCATTTATTTTCAACCCTTTTTTCATAAATTTCTATATTTGAAAAAACAAACAAATCATTCCTTTTGATTTAACCAAGTCATGCGCAACCCATTTAAGTTGATATACATTATTCATTTTAATAACCTCACTGCTAGCTTTTTGAATTCAATTTGATTCTTTCAAATTCACTTCACAAAATCATGTGCCTTCCATTATTATCCACTTTCATTGATGCAATTCACAATTTCACTCACACCAACATTTAGAGTAGTTGCACCAAATTCACACACTTTTTTATTCACAATCGTGACTCGATTCTTCTACAACGTCTTCTCCTCACCATTCTTCTTCATCTTCCCCAATTCTCCAGCCTGATTTTGTCATCCTCCATTTTCATGATCCAAACATATCAAAATCATTCTCCTACCATCTGCTTAAAAAAAAAAAAAAAAAACCTCCATTGCAATTGGATCATTCCTCTCCTCTTCTTCAAAATCATAGTCCACCTCTTCTCTTCCACTATATGGCTGAACATTTTCAAGGCTTTGGAGCTTGTTTGGAGATGTTGAGGCTTGGCTGAGGCACATGATTCCTAGGCCAAGGATGGAAGAAGCTTGAGTTCAAGGGAGCTACACATTGGCTAAGCTTTTACATTATAGTTTCCTCTTAATTTCTTCTTGCAATTTCTCTGTTTCTATTTGGATTTCTTCTAGCAATTTCTCTATTCTTATTTGGATTTGTGTAGTTGTAATGTTGCGCATAAGGTGTTTTGATTAAATGCCTGTAATATTTTATATGAGGAGACTTGTTATTTTGTGATTTAATATAATTGCAAGAATTTTTCTGCCAAATTTAAATTTAATGGTTAAATGTATAGTTGTAGTGAATTGCTGAATACCTAAGACTTTAACAATTATATGGTTACATTGTCAGACTTTGGCAAGACTTAAGTAGGTTTAATTTTGAAATTGAATTTTGGTTAGGCATAGTTTAGGAGCTGTTCTTTGCTAATTGAATGACTAAGAACACATTGGATGCTTAATGATGCAAACCTAGCTCACTATATAATCACTAATAGTTATGATTGTGTGTTACTATGTTTGCTATGTCTGAGAAAGCTCTTGAATAAATTTTTATCAATAAAAGTGTTGCTCAGCAAAACAATTAATTGAATGAGGATTGCTTCACCATCACACTCCTAGAGATCACTTTTCATCATGAACCACTTAGTCACTCGCTTGTTCCTTTAAAAATTGGAAAATTATAAACAATAGCTTGGTCTTAATTCATTGCATTAGACAAACAAAATCAACCATTTTGTTGCTGTTTATGCACTTTGAAATCAATTTTAAATTAATTTTCAACCTAATTCATTGGATATTTGATGACCTAGGTAACCACTAACTACACTAGTGCTACTTAATAATTTTTTGTGCACATACAACTACATTTTAGGTGGGAATTTCTTTTGAAAAAATGATAATTAGGGACCCCCTAGAACATTAAAGATAATTACATATCTTGAATTAATGAAATTTCAATAACAATCCATGTTCTTTACTTTCAATAATTTTTTTTTTGGCTTAAGATTCACAATAAATTTGTATAAATTTCCAACTAACATTACAAAAATTCCCATGTATCTTTTGTTGATTTTTTAAATAATAGTAAAAAATCACAAGTATTTGACTTGTAATTCATAATTGACTTTTATAAATTCTTTATTGACATTACAAGTAATATCAAGTATTTTGTAAATTTTTTAAGCGATTTATTTATATATTGATAGTTTAAAAATCACAAATGATTTATTTACAATTTACAACTATTTTTCATAAATTTTCAACAAATATTACAAATAATCTTAAATATATTTTCTTAATTTCCTAAGTCAAAATTCACAATTAACTCTCGTAAATTTTTAATTAACATTAAAAATAATTTTAAGTGTGTTCTATTGATTTTTCAACTAACTATTCACATTTCTTTAACTGCAAGTAAAGATCATGGTTCGTTATTGAAATTTTAATAATTTATAATCTATAATTGCCATTAATATTCCAATGAAATCCTTACTTGTCATCTACCCATTTCTTTTTTCTTTTGCAAAGCCAAGAGGCAAGATTTCAAGGTACTATTCTTTCTTATCGTCAATTTAGAATTTTATTTTTTTTATTGTAAATTTTAGAATCTTCTTTTAATGCAGAAAAGCAAAGTTAACTAATTTCATAATTTTTAATTAATACTAAAGTTAATAAAAAGCATTTAACTTTTTAAATTTATCATTTGCTAAAATTAATGATCATGATAAAATATGTTTAGGAATTACGTACAACTTGGTACAACTAAGGAGCCTAATATTATTAAAGAATTAACTATTATATCTTTGTCCTATATTTTAATTTAAATAGAACGGTAAAATTTTAACCTGTAATTAGGACAAAAGGAAATACTGGGAAAGAAATCAGTGAAGTCGTCGGACTTATGAGAGTTCAATTCAACGCACTGAAGAGAACCAGGGAGGGAGAGTTTGACTTTATA